TGCTGACATGTAAAAACATCATAGAACACTTAAATATCTGATATATTGCCAAATTGCGTTCACTTTGACAAGAAACGCATAAATTTATACGAACAAACGACATTTCCCCCAAAAGATCAGATAATAGATGTTAAACAGAGGCTATACAATTACGGGGTGCCATCCATCTCGGCGTGTGATGATTTAGCGACGCTTCTGTATTCTAGTAGCGTTAAATATCGGTACTGCATGCAGTCTGAGATGTCAATTCAGTCCCTTATTGGAACAATTCAGGTGTATTCTAACGTCATTCGCCGTACCAGATAGTTCCTTAAATCACACCCTTGTATATGCAGCTACATGTATCCTGGACCTCATCCAGTTGGCGTTCATAGTCAACTTGAGTGCCGCCTTGAAATGATAAAAATCGGTGAAAAGAACTTATGGTAGGATGTTATAAGGTCTCGCCTCCACTCGCATATTCAGTCATACCTGAACAAAGACGATGCTGAGCGACGCGTGATAATTAATGATGTATATCAACCACCTAAAGCTGAATCGATGGGCCAGGATATATAGGGAATCGAAAAGAAAAATGCATGATGATACACGCAAAACATTAGCCCAAGACGCGATACCGTAGAGCGAATCCCGTAGAAAGTAGTTAATGAAAAGGTAGCCTAATAAGAAACATAGTGACACTGTATAAACATTAGATTGACATTGCAACATGTCAAATGTTATTTATAGTAACAGTAGCCATGTTTGTAACCTAGGTAAAACTATTTGTGAAATTGTCTATGAAGCTTCATGACAATCAGATAATATATCTGAAGAGCGATGAGCGGCGGAATACATTCAATTACAACAACAAATCTTGTCCTGTTATGTTCCACTGGACGGCAGTGTCCTCGGGGACAGCAATAAACTAAACGTGTTCAGACGCACAAGGGATAGACGGTCAGAAAAACAGCCTACAGGAAGTGGTACAAATAGCATGGAATAGAGATTTTAAAAACCGGCCTACATTTTCATTAAGCCCGTGAGAGTTTACTCTTCGATGGTCAGGTATATAACGTATTTTTTCCTTGAGAGTGTTATATCCTGTATACTTCCAACTGGAACTATTGATACAGTACAAAATGTGATAAATTACAGCTAGCTCCATTTAATTTCAATTTAATTTAATTTCAGCGCATCAACTCAAAATAGTTTGATAAAACACGCACAATCTTTTCCTTCTATGGTTAATAACCGTCTGGTTTTGTGATGAATATACAATGGTGATAAAACGTACCTAGCGCGCAATATATTGTATAATTATGTTTGTATTCAAGTGGAACTTAGCTGTGAAGATATCCGTCAAGCTTACGCATTTTAAGTCTATCATTACAGAATATAAAATTGAAGCAGCACAGAGGCTCTACACTACTGATATAAAACATACCTTCACAGGAGCTTCACAATTCGCACATGAAATTACCATGACAGAACATTCACACCTCACACACTTATCCCAGTAACACCGGGGTTCCACACCGTTGACTCTAGCTTTACAATCGCACGGCTTTCAGCTTTCACGGGACTTTAACAACATTTGGTACGACGCTAAGCACATGAAACATTGCAGTGGCAGGTACACGACCAGTGTCAGCATGGTATGTTTACACGACGACAGAAGTAGAACGGTACTAATGATAGTTGTTGTCTTATTCTGTCCTATTGGATGTCTCCATTACCGTACCTCCCTCTTCTCCTCCCGTATATTGTCCTTCAGACCCTCTCCCTCTACGTACCTCCCCCTTCCCCTCCCGTATATTGTCCTTCAAACCCTCTCCGTCTACGTACCTCCTCCTTCCCCTTCCATATATTGTCCTTCAGACCCTCTCCCTCTACGTACCGCCCCCTTCCCCTCCCGTATATTGTCCATCAGAAACTGTCCCTTACCTACCTCCCCCTTCCCCTCCTGTATATTGTCCTACTGACCATCTCCGTAACGTACCTCCCCTTCCCTTCCCGTATATTGTCCTTCAGGCCATCTCCGTCTACGTACTTCCTCCTTCCCCTCCCGTATATTGTCCATCAGACCCTCTTCGTCTACGTACCTCCTCCTTCCCCTCCCGTATATTGTCCTTCAGACCCTCTCCCTCTACGTACCTCCCCCTTCCCCTCCCACATATTGTCCTTCAGACCCTCTCCATCTACGTACCTCCTCCTTCCCCTCCCGTATATTGTCCTTCAGACACTCTCCCTTTACGTACCTCCCCCTTTCCCTCCCGTATATTGTCCATCAGACACTCTCCCTTTACGTACCTCCCCCTTTCCCTCCCGTATATTGTCCATCAGACCCTCTCCGTCTACGTACCTCCTCCTTCCCCTCCCGTATATTGTCCTTCAGACCCTCTCCCTCTACGTACCTCCCCCTTCCCCTCCCACATATTGTCCTTCAGACCCTCTCCATCTACGTACCTCCTCCTTCCCCTCCCGTATATTGTCCTTCAGACACTCTCCCTTTACGTACCTCCCCCTTTCCCTCCCGTATATTGTCCATCAAACACTCTCCCTTTACGTATCTCCCCCTTTCCCTCCCGTATATTGTCCATCAGACCCTCTCCGTCTTCGTACCACTCCTTCCACTCCCGTATATTGTCCTTCAGACCCTCTCCTTTTACGTACCCTCCCCCCTCCCGTATATTGTCCTTCAGACCCTCTCCGTCTACGTACCTCCCCCTTCCCCTCCCGTGTATTGTCCTTCAGGCCCTCTCCCTTTACGTACCTCCACCTTCCCCTCCCGTATATTGTCCTTCAGGCCCTCTCCCTTTACGTACCTCCACCTTCCCCTCCCGTATATTGTCCTTCAGGCCCTCTCCGTACGTACCTCCCCCTCACAGGTATTTCCGAGAAAATATCCCCATGTATAAAGTCAAAGATTTGGACAGTGAGCAAATACAGGGTTATTTCTATGGTAGAAAATTAACAAAGAAAAAGACACGGTCTTGAAGATAGAAGAAGTTATAAAAATGAAAAAAATATACATAGAAAGAAATTAGCATTAGTTCGGTAGTAAGGCTGACCAAAATAAAAATCGATTCCTGGATTGATACCAACAATGTATCCCCGAAAAAACATAAATGCGGGCTATTGAAAATATACTTCTACCATAACCTGCGTATGTTATCTCACGCCCAGACTGTTCATTAAACACCATATCCATTGTTTATTCATACGCATGATACACATGTGTATTATTGGTGACAGCCAAATCTATTGTGACCCAACCATGATCTGTGACCCCGAGCTACTTTCGCCACGTGCGATTGTTTTCATCGTCTGCTGTCCATCATCAACATGTGATGACACTGACGATCTGTCCTTCTTGTCGGCGGTCAAGATCGGTGATGCGGTAAAACTGTGTGGAGGGGGAAATGGGACAATAATTGGTAAATGCAGTAATTTTTGTTTCCCAACCTTTGATATTAGGTTGGAGACGGGCAAGGTCGTTTCGGAATCAAGATACAGGTTTGATATTTCCCCTGACCCTATCGTCACTGTCTCAACTAGGCCTACCGCTGAACCCCGCCCAATTTCCGACAATATCTCAGTATCAACTTATCATAAATTAAATGTATAGCTGAGCCCCAAGGATGTCGAGACCCCCTAGAAACACCGCAAAGAGCATTAAAAACTCAGCCCCAAAATTACACGCCATCTTAATCGTGTCTCCATTCACATTTTCCCGCGAAGAAACACTACTCTTATCCACAACAAAATCTAGTTCCAGATTATAAGATTATAAGATTAACAATTTGTGTAATTTTGTAACGTGTTTCAATGAACTAATGTTACGGGATGTTTCAAAACAAGATTACTGAATAAATAAGTATTTGGCTTCAAAAATAGCGATTTTGTCTCTTTTTGCATATTAATGAGCCAATCAGACAACCTACGATATATTCTTACGCGAAAGTATCAATGGGGGCGAAACAATGTTGTACACAATATGTATATATATATATTTACGTTAAAAGGTTATAGTAGACAGAAGATCTACAACTCATGACAGTTAATTATCATCGTTACCAAACTCTCGTTAGTTAATTTTCAAATTTACTAACTCGAGTTAGATAACGATGATAATCAACTGCCACGAGTTGTCGAACCTATATTTTCATCATATTTGCATCATACCTAACGATCACATTTGTCCAATTTGATTTTAATCTTTCACGAGGAAATATTCTAAGACAGCACGCATTAAAAGAAAACATGCGTCACGTGATATGCCTTAAAGAAAACATCCAAACAACGATACGCATCTCCCTGACTCTTCACCGGCAAAAAGTGTACCGACCGAAGGTAAATCCTTTTGAAATCCGCGACGTACTCGATCATAGTCGGAAATATTTCTATGCGTTCGTAGAAGGCGTTGACTTTCTGGAATATTTGTCTAATCTAGATCGTTTGGACGCTTCGCTCAAAGACTTTATAGTTTTAGACTATCTGATGATGGAAGTGGATGCTAGCGTGACGTCGTTATTTATGAAGGAAAGTCATCACAGAAACTTTAGTCATGTGATCAAAAGTACACAGAAACATCAATCTGAACGCCCATTACATCTTGTTGATGAAAATCCTAAAGACGCTTCGCAAATCAGATGTCTGTCTCAACAGATGTTGATCTGAAACAAGACACTCATACTGACCACAGATTGTGTACTGATATATTTCACGGGCAATATCAAAGGGTTTCTCTTCCCTAATAGTTGTATCTATAGTGACCGCTTGTCGAAACAATTTTCAAACGTTGGAAACATGTCGTCGTTTCTCGAAAAACGCTGTAGAGACTTGCAGTATTTATATCGAGCTAAACCTACCACGGATAAAGCGATCCTCGAAAAGGCCGACAAAGGTCTAATTAACTGTATTTGTGAGTGCATGTAACCCCACTGTGCCCCCGCTCGCGTTTTGTTTCCCGAAGAAAAAGCCAAGTCCAAATTCCTTTCTACTTGTTGTTTATATAGCACAGTGAAGTCCACAAGAAGGCTCGCTCCCTATCACGCTTCCGTAGAGTCAGTCCCACAACCGGAAGTTGTCCCTTTGGCATCCCTAGATCCAAGTGCAATGAGCAGCGAAAACTGCCCAGTATTTATAGGGGAAGCCAAAAGTCGGACAACTCCGCAGGTGGAAATTCCTCAAGAACAATGGTTGATCCTGGCGACCCAACCATATCAAGATTCTGTCAAAATTATACCGATTTGGACACAAAATGCAGAATCTTGGCGCCATTTGTTATTGTGTATGGGATAAGTGCTGATGGATTGGGGATGCACATTCAGTGCAACGACCGTTGATTGGTCCATTCCCCAATCCCAGGAAGCTATTGTCTGGAATGACAATTGGTACTACCAGTCTTCAGACCCACCGCATATTGGTCACTATTTACATATATAATAATCAAATACTTAACAATTACGCAGAACCTAACATCTGCTAAATCGGTCATGTTTATCTTACATACTCATAATGCTGTACTAAGCAACTATATACAATTCACTATCTAAACTATTATTTTCTCATGACCTTGATATATTTTACGTTATAATGATACAATCATCGTTACTCTAACTGTACTGCACTGTTTATATATACACATCACATTTGTTTATATGAATTCTGGCTACCATTGTTTACATAAGTCCCTACTTGGCTATGCAGTGCTGGACAGGTAAAGGTCATATTTGGTGCAATATACTATGTACATATTTAACACTCAATTCCTGTTATAAGCTAAATTAAACAACAATAAATTCATGGAAATTATTATTTTCATATTTTAAATTTCCAACCAACATTATATACAATAAAATACTGCTTCCTGTTCATATAACCATTTCCGGTTTAACAACAGAGTGATCTACTTGATAGTGTCACATGCAATCAAAACATGTTACAAGGTCATGTGCTGTTGACGAAACAACAAAAGAAACGCTTGTTACTTCTTAAAGCCGGTCTTCGTAAATTAGTCAAGAGACTACCGTTAAAACAATAGAAACACATCGTCCAAAAGGGGGTTTTCATTCAAGCACTGACACCTATATTCTTACCGTTAGTAACCAAATTATTGCGTGGACTGTTGAACATAAGAAAGAAATATCTAGTAATGCAGTGATACGGTGTATGAGTAAGACCTAAACCGCCGGTAGACTCGATCATGGGACACATGCACGAAATGAACGATGATATGTCAAACTTCTTAAACGAGAGGATGAAATGACTTTATACAATCAGACTTTACAGAAGTACATGTCTGGATACCGGTATTGATGAATAACGTCCACTCGGTGGATGTATCGAAGGGCAACGCAGAAACAACGGGGAAACCAAAGGACCCCATTCAAGATATCATCTTACAGAGTGTCCCGAAAACGGAAATGTTGGTGCATCGATTGAAATACGTCATCAGTTGGACGAAAAGACGGAAGTCAGAAACAAATGTCAATCAGTGATTCCGGCTTGGAATCCGGTAGTCTTAGTCGGTAATGCCTCGCGTCACAGATCCTGAAACACGGCAATACCGAGGGTACGAACACTTTCCTGACGGCTCACAGAGACGTAAACATTCCCCAGAGTTGGATAAGTAATACATCGTATGTAGAAAAACTGAGAAACGTAGCTTCCACTCCGATACAAAATACTCTGGTATTTCCTGTTACACAGCAAAGAATCACCAACGTCTCATCGCACGGAATCTCCAGCCATACAACGAAGAGCAAAAAATACCGACAAGTATATTGTGGATTGGAGAGATGATGATGACGACGACGACGACAACGACAACGAAACCGATTTCGGTACTACTATTTCATTCGAAAATCCCAGGTTACAAATGTCAATTTCCCGTCGACCAATATCTTTGAAAAACTGGACGAGATGTAACCCTTCAGATAAACATATCATAAGAAAAGCTATTCAAAAGGACCAGATAGTCTATATATTGGCAGACAGCACTAAACCAAAAGACTCGCACGCAAAACAGATGACCAAGTCTACGAACAATACGTCTAGTGTAGAGACAAAGTGGTTGTTATTTGGTGAGAAATTACCGCGACAGGAAATCGTGTTCTTTTGTCGAATCGTCATTCTGTACAGTGTAATTATTTGTAGTATCTATATATCTGGAGTGTTGACGATCAACAGTGGTCTTTGTGGATTGCATTTGTTGAGCAGCAGTATCGGCTATCTATAGCCTAATCCCTCCATCACAAAAAAAAACACGATGTTTTACATAACCCTTCCTAGTAACAGTTCAATGGCATATTTCTCCGATAATACTTCGACCAATTACACTATCCAGTTATCGCAACCTCTAGATCTCAAAGGTTCAGCCGAAATTCAATAAATTCATTCTTGGTTTAACGTGAACGAAGGCAAGTTGTGGTTAGAAATGATCGTCGGCGGTAGTGAAAACCTCGCTTCTGTGCAGTTCGATCCTGGAGCATCGTGCACGTGAAAGCAGGGTATTATCGGACAGTGAAAGGCTTATTAGACTATCTGTGGGGACCTAACGGAATGGTATCACACGACGACGATGTCGACAGTAAAATTACGCTAACGATATCGGCTGCCTTGCGTATCGTCGTGAGCGAAAGATTAGCGAAATTGTTAAGTTTCGAGAACAGATTTTCAGAGGGAAAACATACAGGGAATTACATAGCAGATGTCAGACAGGGATTCTGTTCCATATATGTATATTGTCCAATAGTAGAACCTCAACTGGTAGGTGACACGAGAATCCATGTTTGTTGTAGTTTCCAGAAAAGACACGTCGTGAGCAAGGAATTTCAACCCATTCATTACGTAGCTCTCCATCAAAGATAATTTCAAGAAATTAACATAATGCTGAAAGACGATACAGGTTAGTCCATTCCGTTAGAGAGGGGGAAAGTTGTAGACACATTATCGTTAGGCATACCCTGAACGCCAAAAAATCTATAAAGGAAGATTTTTTTTTCAAAAAAAAAAGAAAATTTTTTTGGTGACCGAAAAAAACCGAAAACATTATATATAGGCATCATTTCCAAAGGGAATTTCATTATTGATCTGCTTCACCAACTACTTGCAGCAAATTTGATATAATTAAAAAAACGTCTTTGGTTCATTCTAATTCGTGCGAATACACGAAATCATAAATAGATCTGTTTGACCAGTGTAGAAGACGGCTATTGGCATCAGATGGGATCAGTACCTACAGTAAAAGATGATAGACCTTTTTAGAATTTAACATTTCCGGAACCGGCGATCTAGACCTGGGAAATACGTTCCTACATGTAAAAGCACAAATAGCGGTTCAAACACGACTTACGAGGACAACGTAGCAGCTACAAGTTTATTGTTACATAGCCTATTTCCAGATGTCGGCGTGAATCTGAACGAAAATCTCGTTTGCCCACCGAACAACCAGTATGCTGATATAGTTTACATGGAAACTCTCTTGAGCTTCGGTCCGGCGGCCAAAGAATCTCAGTATGTGATATAAAGACACGACAGGAGCCGACAATCATGGTTACATTAAATGGAAATTACTGACGGCCACGAGTCAAACCGTCGAGCTGATGGCAGATTACATTCGGATTTGTTCGTTCTTTAGAGATACTTAATCAACAACGTAGACGTGATGATAACGTTAACCAGAAGTAAAGATTCGTTTTGTCTGATGGGGGAAGGTGACGGGTTCAAAGTGATCATACAAAGTGAAAGTGAAACCTAGTTCATCGGTAAGATTGGCACATATGAAAGCCTTAGAATTGACGCCCATCATTTCTCTATAAGAAGAATCGAAATGAAATCTGCTTCCGTTCCGAGGGGGAACCTCGACTTCGTAAAAGACAATATGTTTTAAGGACAAATGCCCAAGAGATTGGTCGTGGATTGCGTAGACAGCGGTGCCTTTCGCGGCGTCGTTTCTATAATCCATTCAGTTACAAACATTACAGAATCACTCACTTCGTGTTGAACGTGGATGGTAAACCGGTTCTGACAAAGCCTTTATAGCCGAATTTTATTTAGAAACATTACACAAGGACCTTCATGTTTTTATTAAGAAAGAATACAGCAACGGCTAGACTTTGCTTGGATTCGACTTGACGCCCGATTTGACACATGACCTTATTAAGAAAGGAATTCTGTCTCTGAAAATTCCTTTTCTTGAGGCCTTGACCCAAACCATCAACGTCATTGTGAATGCCGAATTCTACAACATCGTAGAAATCGACAGATCTTATTTGATTTCAATGCCTAAAAAATGAATACTTTGAAGATAGAAATCATCTTTAAAAAATTTCCTCTCTTTTTAAAGGTGTCTATGCTAGAAACAGGTTGCCACGTGCGTCGCCATGTTCGTTAGTCTGTAATATCGATCTGGATGCGATGGTCAACACTGGATTGCCGTATACGTAGATGAAGTAAGAAGTTGAGAGTATTACGATCCGTTTGAATGACCTCCTATTCACGAAGCTTTCGTTAACTTTTTAAACAAACAGTTTACACCATGGACATAGATGCCGAATACAGCAACTGAACTCTTTAGTGTAAAGCACTGTATATTTTATATGGTACTGAGAGAAAGAGGGATGTTGATGTCTGACGGAAATTCTTAGAAAAGATATCGATGCAAACAGAGTTTCGTTCAAAATCTGATAAGTGGTCAAGGTAAAGGGAACGGGAAAAAATCTATTAGACCATAAAAATGCAGCGGACAATAATGAGTCGGTTGGTCATCGATGATACCCTGTTTAATAGGGTACTTTACAGTTTCCTGACAATTGTAAACAACACGTGGGACCCGCCGTAGCCATCATTAGAATGTCACTGAATACTGCAAAAAGTTCAAATTACACATCTTGAGGCCAAAAATGTTTTTGAAAGTAAAGCTAATAGGAGATATGAAATGTTGATAATTTTGTATCTCAAAAATAAAAATGATTTTGTGTGTATAAAATGTATAAGAGTAATATTTTATAAGTAAAAATTGTAAAATGCTAACAGCAGCAAACAACAGCAAACAGCAGTAAGCAGCAGTAAACAACAGCAAACAACAGCAGCAAAATAGTAGCAACAGGAGCAAGCAATAGCAAACAACAGCAGAAAAACAGCAGGAAACAACAGCAAACAGCAGTAAGCAGCGGCAAACAACAGCAAACAACAGCAGCAAAATAGTAGCAACAGGAGCAAGCAATAGCAAACACCAGCAGCAAAATAGTAGCAACAGGAGCAAGCAATAGCAAACAACAGCAGCAAAATAGTAGCAACAGGAGCAAGCAACCGTATACGACAACAAAAGTTTTATTTTTGT